CAAAATGATTTCAACAGTACATTAAAAAGACCATTCATCATGATCCAGTGGTATTTATTCCAGGGATGCAAGGATGATTAAGTATCTCCAAATCAATCATTGAGATGCACCACATTAAGTAATGAAAGATAAAAATCGTGTGATCATCTCAACAGATGCAGAAAAAACATTTCACAAAATTCGGCATCCATTCATGAGAAGCACTCTCAACAAAGTAGATATAGAAGGAACATACCTCAACACAATAAAGGCCATACATGAAAAACAACAAACATCGTACGCAATGTTAAAAAGCTGAGAGGTTTTCTTCTAAGATCAGGAAGGCAAGGGTTCTTTTATTTCAGTACAGTACTGGAAGTACTAACCACAGAAATCAGACAAGAAGAATACATAAATGGCATCCAAATTGGTAAGGAAGAAGTAAAACTGTCACTATTTGCAGATGACATAATACTATATACTACATAGTATACTGTATATAAAAAACCCTAAAGACCACCAAAAAAACTACTAGAATTAATAAATTCAGTAAACATGTAAGATATAAAAGCAATTACAGAAATCTGTTGTGTTTCTACACAATAATGACAAAATATCAGAAAGAAAATTAGGAAAACAATCCCATTTACAATTGCACTGGAAAAAAACTGTTTAGGAATAAATTTAACCAAGGTGAAAGACCTGTATCTGAAAACAATAAATGACTGATAAAAAATGGAACAGAACATAAGCAAATGGTAAGATATACCCTCCTCATTGTTAGAAGAATTAATATTGTTAAAATGTCCACACTACCCAAACCAATCTACAAATTCAATGCAATGCCTATCAAAATACCAACAGTATTTTTTACAGAATTAGAACAAATGATCCGAAAATTTGTATGGAACTACGAAAGACCCCGAATAGACAAAGCGATCCTGAAAAAGAAGAACAAAGCTGGAAATATCACAATCCCAGATTTCAAATTATATTACAATGTTATACAAATCAAAATAGCACATTTGTCCAAAAAACACATACAGACGGTCAATACACATTAAAAGATGCTTAATATCACTAGTTATCAGGGAAATGGAAATCAAAACAACATGAGATACCACCTCACACGAGTCAGAATGGCTAAAATCAAAGTCAAGAAATAACTGTTGGTGAAGATGTAGAGAAAAGGAAATCCACGTGCACTGTTTGTGGAAATGGAAATTGGTGCAACCACTGTGGAAAACACTATGAAAGCTCCTCAAAAAATTAAATATAGAAAATACATATGATCAAGTAATTCCATTACTGGGTATATATGCAAAGAATGCAAAAACACTAATTCAAGAAGATATATGCACCCCTATGTTTATTGCAAGATTATTTACAAAGCCCAGACATCGAAGCAACCTGTGTCCATTGACAGATGAATTAAAAAGATGTGAAATATACATGCAATGGAATATTACTCAGCCATAAAAAGGAATGAAATCATCCCATTCACAAAAACATGGATCGACCTAGAGGGTATTATGCTGCATAAGATAAATCAGATGGAGAAAGACAAATATCATATGATTTCACCTGTATGTGGATTCTAAAAAACAAAACAAATTCATAAACAAAAAAAAAAAAACAGAAACAGTCTCATAAACACAGAGAACAAACTGGTGGTTGCCAGAGGAAAGGGGGTAAGGGATGGAATAGGCAAAATAGGTGAAGGGAATTAAGAGTAACAAACCACCACTTATAAAATAAATGTCACAAGCGTGCCTGGGTAGCTCAGTGGGTTAAGAGCCGGACTCTTGGGTTTTGGCTCAGGTCATGGGTTGTGAGATCGAGCCCTGAACCCCACAATGGGCTCTACACTCAGCAGGGAGTCTGCTTAAAGATTCTCTCCCTCTGCCCCTCCCCCCCACTCTCGCTGTCTTAAATAAATAAATTCTAAAAAAAATAAATAAAATAAAATAAATGTAGCAGAGGTGAAAGGTATAACATAGAAAATATAGTCAATAATATTATAATGTTGTATGGTGACAGATGGTAACCGCACGTATGATGAACGTTGCATAATGCATTATGTAGAGAATTCTCCAATCACTAAATTGTATATGTGAAACTAGTAACATTATATGTCAACTATTTCAAACTAAGCAAAATGTAAAAAAAAAAATTTTAATGAAAAAAATCAAAGATGAAACATAAATAGAAAGATATATATATAAAGATATATACATATATAATGATATATACATATATAAAGATATATATATATATACATACTATGATCATAGATTGGAAGAATGAATATTGTTAAAATGTCTATAATACACAAAGCAACCCACAGGTTTAATACCATACTGGGGTTTTTTTGTTGTTTTTCTGATAAGCTTTATTTTAATTCCCGTATAGTTAACATACAGTGTTATATTAGTTTCAGGGGTACAATATAGTAACTCAACAATTCCATACATCACCCAGTGCTCATCAAGACAAATGCACCCCTTAATCCCCATCACCTTATTTCACCCATCCCTCCACCCACCTACCCTCTGGTAACCATCAGTTCGTTCTTTATACTTAAGAGTCTGTTTCTGGGTTTGTCTCTCTCTCTCTCTTTTTTTCTTTGCTCATTTGTTTTGCTTCTTAAATTCCACATATGAGTGTATAGCATTATACTCCCTAACTCCATCCATGTCATTGTAAATGGATTCACAGAATTAGAACAAATAAACCTAAAAATTCCTTGGAACCACAAAAGAACCAGAATAGTCAAAGCAACCTTAAGAACAAATCTGGAGGTATCACACCACCAGATTTCAAACTATACTACAAAGCAATAGTAATCAAAGCAGAATGGTACTACGGGCAAAAACACAGGTACATGGATCAATAGAATGTAACAGCCAGGGGCGCCTGGGTGCCTCAGTCGGTTAAACGGCTGCCTTTGGCTCAGGTCATGATCCCAGAGTCCTGGGATCTAGCCCCACGACAGACTGCCTGCTCAGTGGGGAGTCTGCTTCTCCCTCTCCCTCTGCCCCTCTCCCCTGCTCATGCTCTCTCGAATGTGCACGTATGCGCTCTTGCTCTCTCAAGTAAATAAATAAAATCTTAAAAAAAAAAAAACAGCCCAGAAATAAAACCAAGCTTATATGATCAATTAATCTATAACAAAGGGGACAAGAATATACAATGGGGAAAAAAACAGTCTCATCAATAAATGGTGCTAGGAAAATGAACAGCTACATGCAAAAGAATGAAACTGGACCACTTACTTGCACAATACACGGAAATAAACTGAAAATAAACAAAAGACCAAAATGTAAGAGGCGCCTGGGTGCTTCAAACAGTTAAGCATCTGACTCTTGATCTGAGCTCAAGTCTTGATCTCAGTGTCATTAGTTCAAGCCCCATGTTCGGCTCTAGGCTGGGCATGGAGCCTACTTAAAAAATAATAATAAAATAAAATAAAATAACATAACAAAATAAAGACCAAAATGTAAGATCTGAAACCATAAAGCTCCTAAAAGAAAACACAGACAGAAAACTTACAGACATCAGCCATAACAATATTTTTCTGGATATGTCTCCTCAGGCATGGGAAATAAAAGCAAAAATAATTAAATGGGACTACATCAAACTAAAAAGCTTTTGCACAACAATGGAAATGATCAAAAAAACAAAAAGGCAACCTCCAGAATAGAGAAAAAAATTGTAAATCATATATCTGATAAGAGGTTAATATTCAAAATTTATAATCAACGCATACAACTCAACACCAAAACAAAAATCAAATCAAAACAGGGCAGAGTACCTAAATAGACATTTTTCTTTAAAAAAAATTACATATGGCCAATGAACACATAAAAGATGCTCAACATCACTAAATACCAGGGAAATGCAAATCAAAACCCTGATATCACGTAACACCAGTCAGAATGCCCAGGGTCGAAAAGAGAAAAAATAAGTATTGCACAGGATGTGTAGAAAAGGGAACGCTTCTGAATGTTGGTGGGAAGGTAAGTTGATGCAGCCACTATGAGAAACAAGTGTGGACATCCCTCAAAAAACTAAAAATACAGGTATCATACAATACAGTAATTCTGGGTATTTACCCAAACAAAAACAAAAACACTAATATGAAAAAACATATTCATCCTAATGTTTATTCCAGCATTATATACAATAGCAAAGATACGGAATCAATTTATGCGTCCATCCATGGATGACTGGATAAAACAGATGTGGTATATATGCACAATAGAATATTTACTCAGCCATACTGAAGACTGAAACCTTAGAATTGGTGCTAATGTGGATGGACCCAGATGGTATTATGCTACAAGAAACGTCAGAGAAACACAAATATCATATTATTTCGCTAATAAGTGGAATCTAAAAATCAAATCAACAAACAAAACAGAAACAGAATCAAAAAATGTAGAGAACAAACGAGGTTGCCCGAAAGGAGGAGGTGGGGGATGGGCAAAATAGCTGAAGGCAATTAAGAGGTGCGAAATTGCAGTCAGAAAATAAATACGTCTCCGCAATGAAAAGTATAGCATAGGGAATATAATCAATGATGTAATAATAACTTTCTATGGTGACAGATGGTTAACTACAGGTCCATGGTGAGCAATTCCAAATATATATAATTGTCGAATCACTACGCCGTACATTTGAAATTACGATAATATTTTAGGTAAAGTACATTTCTATTAATTTTTTTTACGTAAAAACCAAAAAATATACACACGAAAATTAAAATAAAATAATAACTTAAAAACAATGATAAAATAAGACAATATAAAATACACTGTAAAATAAAATATACAATAAAAAAATGAATAAGGAAAAAATACAATATAAAACGAAAGAAAATAAACAAAACCCAAAATAAACAGTAAAATGAAATATAAAATAAAATGATAAAATTTAAAAAACCCAGTATCCCTCTAGCGTCTGACACTGTTAAATTACACAAATAAGAGAAATAGCACGATATCACTCAAGATACATACCAGAGGTGGTTTCAAAAATTGCTGTTTACAAGCAAACGTCCTGGAATCAGACGCGAAGATGGTGCCCGGACAGCTCCTGAGAACACACCTTGAGAGGGAGATGCAGGATGGAGTCGAGGGCCCACAGCTAAGGGCTGAGGCCACCCAGGTCTCTGC